GCTGCATTCCCGAAGGAACTTGCATCATTTGATTACCTGTAGGAACTTGTATCATTTGATTACCTGTAGTACCAGCAAGTCGCAAAGGTGTGTTAACGCTTCCCGCAACACTTGATGCTCCACTTGTAATCACACTTGTCGCTGGAGAAGGTCCAGGAACTGTAGCTGTAGTTGGGACAGTTGCTCCAATCTGATTAAGATTGAGCTTCTTCCCATAGTCGACATATTGATCCTGATTCTTCCATTGAGTCTCTGGTAGCAGTCTGTCTGGACATTTTGGAGACATATGATCCTCTTTGCCACATACATAACATGCCGCCTTTTTCTTTTCGTCCTTCGGTTTACCCTTCCCTTTACCTTTACCTTTATTAGGTTGGTCTTTTCCTTGGTAAAGGTTCACTCCCGGATTTTGAATCACATCCATGTGAATCTTCAACATATCTTGTGCTTTGCTGACCGTCTTTGGATAATAATCCACTTCCCTGCAGTAGTTTGTCTGAAGATCCAGCATCAGAGGAGCTGTTCTTGTTCGATCGCAGTTGCACAGAAATCCTGTTGCGAGAACGGCTTCAAAGATATCATCCTTGAACTTGTCTCTAGCAGTAGTATTGGTGCAAGCAATAGCAGCATATGCTTTCGTCTTGACTGAAAAATTTCGGAACCAGGCAACGCCATAGAGATCTTGCAGGACTTCAGCCTGTCTCAAGAATCGTTCCTTGAAATGCATCAAGTTTTATGTTGTTCCTTGCTTCATAGCAAAGAACTTTTGATTGGCTTCCCAGAAATCCAAGAAGTCATACTCAGCATCAGCACTCTTCTTCATGAATCGTTCAATACTTTTCAAGAGTTCGATTGGATCTTCAAGAGTAGTCGTGAAATCGGCTTCACCTTGAAGCTTGATATCCATCGCCTTCGTCACAAACTTCAGCATGATGTTTGATTTGACAGTTCTCTTGTTTGTTTCGAAGTAGGCTGATCTTCGCATGTTCTTGTCAAGCTTTGCAGAATAGAGAATCTTGTTTTGAGTCATCTCTGTTTCTCTTGCAACAGCTTCAGTTTGAGTTGGAGCATTCAATCTTGGAGCGATCGCATTGAAGTCGATCGACTTTCCATCTCGAATTGATTTCACCATGTCTTCGGAACATTTCATTCCAGAAGCTTGGATATAGTCAATCACTCTTTCTTTGGCATCTTCGTACGACGATCTTGCCTTTCCATCGTTTTCATCTTTTGTTGAAAATAG